TGTGAAACATCATCAGTTTCAATGGTGTGAAATTCAGAAAGGAGTTCTTAAACTCAGAATCTCTGAACTTGAATCCTGCTAAATGCTTCAAGACTGAGATGGAGAATTATATGAAAAAATGGCTCCTTTTATTTAGCTAAAAGGCATTTGATAGAGATGGTAACTTAGTGTGGAAAATGGTATATAACAAAATGTAAGCTGGGCACAATGTGCATTTTGATGTGGGCACTGATTTACCTATTGCAGGGAAAAAAGTATTAAGATTTGGCAAGGAGAAGCTTAAAAAGATTAAACTTTTGGCTTACAATATTAGTGGATGTCTTACTGAGGTAGATGACTGAAGAATGGAAATGAGCTTATGTTGGAAAGAAATGGCCTATATTGTCAATGTGGTGCCTGATAGTGCTTAAAGAATGGAACTGTTCCTCCTCCTCTGCTGGGCTATCAGGTACATTTGCAAATGCACTGGTGGCCCTGGGCCAGGAGTTTGTGGGGCACATTGTCCTCTTGGTGGGATTAGTTTAGTGCTGGCAAAACAAGAAGACAGCTTTCTTCAACCACTTTGCTTTTATTTTTGGTTAACTACAGTTCCATGAGATAATACTGCAGATACGACTTATATCTATCTTTTAAAAGCAAAATCTTTGCATGATAGCACACACCTTTAAATCCAACACTTGGGTGCCAGGCGTGGTGACACACACCTTTGATCCCAGCTCTCGGGAGGCAGAGGCAGGCAGATCTCTTTCAGTTCAAGGCCAGCTTGGTCTACATAGTGAATTCCAGGCCAGTTGGGGCTACAGGAGACCCTGTCTCAAAAAGACCAAAAAAAAATCCAACACTTGGGAGGCAGAGTAAGGTGGATCCTCTGTGAGTTTGAGGCCAGCCTGGTCTACACAGAGTTCCAAGCCAGTCAGTCAAGGCTACATAGTAAGAACCCGTCTAAAAATAAATAAAAGCAAAGTCCTCTTAAATCACCATTCCAGAACCTGAGATAATTGTGCTGTTTTCAACTTTTTTCTTTCTTTCTTTTTTATTAGCAGGTGTCTCATCTGCAGAAAGTAGATCTTCGGCCTTGGTCCTTCTGACCCCAGGGGCCAGTGTGTTCTCAGGACAGCTGCCTTTAACTCTATCTTTTGGATTTTACTTGTGTGTACACCTTGGTAATGTCATTGTACCTGCCTTCAGGCAGCTGGTAGCTAGAGATAGATGGCATGTAATGTGGCTCTTCTTTCTCAAAGGGGAAGAGGCTGGTGTTCCCCTTGATGGCCTCATAGAGCTCTGGGGACTCAAGTTTGTTCCTTGAGGAGAGCTTCCTGCTGGGATTCCAGCATGGCCCTAATGGCATTCCTCTCCATCAGATGCTCTTACTACTTGTATAGTGACCACCTCTTCAGAAGAGCTCTCCACTCACTCTCCTCCAGAGAGAGTGCATCCTGAGGCTGCTGTCTTGATTTATCCAAGAACGTCACAGGAGTAATAAAATCTTCAATGGGAACTAGTTCTTGGTTAGGTTTTCCAGTTTTCGGATCCTTTTTTTTCAAACGATCCTTTACTGCTTGATCGTTTTTAGGACCCACCTTCTTCATCTTTCATAGAGGTCCTCCTCTAATAGGGATGAGCTCCCAGAAGGACAACAATGAAGCCCATTGGTGGGTGTGTCTGATCTGTGTCTGCCAGGTTCACTTGGCAGCCACAGGGTCCTCAGGGTACTCAGTAGTGTACAGCAGCAGCCATGGCTCTCTTTGCCACTCCTGTTTTCAACTCTTCATGCAAGGTAATTACTGAGAGATTGATTTAGTCTATGATTTTTTAGTAAATGCAGATAAGACATCATAAGAAATTGGTTTTGAATCATACCTTGTAAAACTGTGCATCTGTGAAGTCTTCAGATGCTTGGATTTGATTTTAAGGCACTGTGTCTGGTAGGACACGCCCTCTGTTAATACAACTACATTACACACACACACACACACACACACACACACACACACAAAGGGAGTGTCATACTGTATGATGTTCACTGTCCTGGCAGGAATGAAGATCTTCTAAAAACACACTTGTACCCTTCCCTTCGGCTATCAGACTATTGAAAGGATGTACCCCAAGAAATTATAATTTCCCCAGGAATCTCAAGCTGGGAGAAGATAGGCAGAGGGAAAGCCTTTCTCCCAGGAAGAAATTTCAGTTCTGACACAACCTGGGCAGGTGCCTGTGGAGGCCAGAGAGGGTACTGGATTCCCTGGAGCTGGAATAACAACTCTGGTGCTCTGAAAGGGCAATAAGTGCTCCTAACTGCTGAGCCATCTCTCTAACCCTCTGTTACTTCATTTAATAATGTTCAAAAAACACACAAAGACCATTCGGCTAATTCTATAGAAGCGTATGCCCAGTTTTTGCAGTGCTAATGATAACAAACATCAGAAGACTTGGTGCTTTGACTGATTCCTTACCCAGTGAAAAATGGACAGCTGCTTTACAGGCTACTGGTGTATGTAAGCAAGAAGAAAGCCATAAAGCTGTTGGTACATGTCTATAGGATGTGCTGTATCAAAAAGACATGGGTCTCAAAAAGATCCAAAATATGCTTGCTGATGTACCCTGCATGAGGCACAGAGGAACTCCACACAGTGATGATTATATTGAGTTCTTTAATTAGCCAATGGTCAAGAGTAGGCTAGTGCCAGAAAGATCTCTTGACCCTGAGGAGAAGCAGAACAGGGTTTATAAAGCCTAAAACCATAATTACCTCATGCCAGGGGCACAGCTAGAAAGTGTGGTTACACCATACCAGGGGCAGCTCAGTTAACAAAAAAGTTTTCAGTCAACAGTTTTCAGTTAAGTTTCAGTTAGGAAAAACAAGTTTCTCAGACTTGCAGAAACAATGGGCTTCCTGGAGCTGCAGGTCTACGTAGCTAGGTGAGAACATTCTGCCTGGCTGGATCTAAGTTTCCAAGTATTACAAAAACAATGTACTCCCTGAAACTGCCCGCACAGCCTTCATGAGATCATTCTGCCTAGATGGATGTGGTGTTCTCAACTATGTGAAGCTCAAACTAGAGTCGGAACAAAGTGAAGCCAGTATGGACATTTTGGGCAGTTTACTGACATTGCAGTCACAGTTGAGGTTAAGAAGTGGTACACCTGCGAGGTGGATGCCCTCAGACCACGGGTGAAGCCCAAGATCATCAGAAAGGGAACCAAGAAGTTCATCCAGCACCAGTCTGACTGATATATCAAAATTAAGTGAAACTGACGGAAACCCAGAGGTATTGACAACAGGGTGCGGAGAAGATTCAAGGGTCAGATCCTGATGCCCAAGAAAGCACATGCTGCCCAGTGGCTTCCAGAATTTCCTAGTCCATAATGTCAAGGAGCTGGAAGTGCTCCTAATGTGCAACAAATCTTACTCTGCTGAGATAGCACACAATGTATCCTCCAAAAACAGCAAAGCCAAAGCCATTGAAAGAGCAGCACAGCTAGCCATCAGTCACCAATCCCAATGCCAGGCTGTGCAGCAAAGAAAATGAATAGATGTATCACATTCTCCTGTTACTTTTGCAAAAGAAAAAAAAAAAGAAGTGGTATCCACAGGCTCCTCTAGACTTGTAGAGTTAGCAGAGAACATGTGGCTGAGAAAAGAACTGTTTCAATGTTCTTAAGAATTCTTCATCAGGGGCTAGAGAGAGAACTCAGCTGGTAAACTGCTGGCTGTGGAAGCATGAGGCACTGAGTTTGATCCCCAGAAGATACAAAAAGCCATGCCTGATGATGCAGGCCTGTAGTCCCAGGTGGGGACTGGTGGTGTCCTGTGGTTTGCTGGCCAGCTAATTTAGTTGAATCTGCAAGCCCTAGATCTCAGTGAGAGACCTGTCTGAGAAAACAAGGTGGGAATGACACTGGAAGTTGTTCTCTCAGTGCATATGTGTGCTTGTAAACAGTGTGTACACACAAAGAATTCTGCACAGATTTAAATGTAAGCTGTACTGGCAGCTCTAACATGCTAGGCTTGGCTGCCTAGTCCACCTAGTCCAATTAAACAGATAAGTAATACAGGCCAGCTGGGGCTACAAGGAGACCCTGTCTCAAAAAGACCAAAAAAAAAAAAAACCCAAAACAAACACAACAAAAAAAAAACCCACAAAAAACAGACAAGTAATAGTGAAAAGTAGAGAAAGAGTTACTCAGTGTGGCTATATTGGGAAGAAGGAAGACATCCAGTACATCCAGTTACTGACATCCCCCTCCCCGTCTATCTTCTGGGCCCTGATACGAGGTTCAGGTTTAAACAGAGGGCAACAGGCATGCGTAACTAAGCAGACCTGGTCAGCGTGTGGTAGACACACCTCTTTTTAAAAGAACTGGTAACCTGAGAAGGATGAAATGTGTTGACACACAGAAGCATATGATGAAAACTTGTCAAGGACTTTTTATTGATCTGGATTGTGCACTCTTTCCCCAAAATTCTCTCACCAGGTCCAGAGAGGCAGAATTCTCTTTGCTCCATCAGCAATTTTGTGACCTCTGAGAGAGGGAAATGAAGGAGGGAATAGGACATAGTTAATTCTAAGTTAGGCAGGTAGTCTGGAAGGAGGCCCAGACCAGATTCAATTGAGTTTTGACTACTTTCACTTTCATCCAAGATGGCCCACTTCTAGGTCCTCGTCCAAAATCGGCCTTTTTGGTAGCCCTCCCCCATCCCAGGCTCTCTGATGGGAATTTCAAACTTCCCACCCCTGCTTTACCCAATCATGTTTCTACTCTAGCACGAATGAACCATCCAATCCAAAAGGGGAAGGACGTGCCCAAACCTATCCCACCCACCTACACTATACAATATTTTTTTTAACTTTACTTAATTTTTATAATGCTCCAGCTCTGGACCCCTCCTCCCCTTGCGGGGAGTCTGTCTCTGTGTACTGTGTGGAGTATTACTTCACTTTAATAAACCTTGGCTGTGTGGTACGACTCTGAATTTTTCTTGTTAATTCTTTACCTACACCACCCTTCCGCGTAGCCGAACCGCAGCCTCAGAACCAATCCACTTCCGCTCTCGGCTGAGGAACTCCGGAAGTGAGTAGCAGCCTCGCCATCGGCGCCACCTCGCCCAAGATGGCGGACCTCCACCGCCAGCTGCAAGACTACTTGGCGCACGGGAAAGAGGGCAGACCGGCAGACACAGAGCCGCTGCTCACCAAGGGGACAGCAGAAAAGCCCGCGCCTGGGGACGGACCCGCTGGAGCGTGGCTGGGTCTGACGGGCTCGCGATGGACTTGGGCACGGAGCCCCGCGGAGGCAGCGACAGCGGGCCTGGGGTGCATGCCGACCGTGACGCGCGGGCAACGCCTAGCGGCGGGCGGCATATGCCTGCTACTGGCCGCGCTCTGCTTTGCCCTGGCGGCGCTATACGCCCCAGTGCTGCTGCTGCGTGCGCGCAAGTTCGCACTGCTCTGGTCGCTGGGTTCGGTTTTGGCGCTAGCGGGTGGCGCGCTGCTGCGGGGCGGCGCAGCTTGCGGACGCCTCCTGCGCGGAGAGGAGACGCCTTCGCGACCGGCGCTGTGTTACGCGGCCGCGCTGGGCGCCACGCTCTACGCTGCGTTGGGCTTGCGCAGTACGCTTCTCACTGCGCTCGGCGCCTTCGCACAAGTGGCCGCATTGCTCTACGCGTTGATGGACCTGCTGCCCTGGGGCGGCGGCGCTGCGCTGCGTCTAGCTCTGAGCCGCCTGGGCCGTGGTGCCAGCCTGGCCAACACACTTCCGGTGTGACACTCCCGAACAGAAGGAGGCGGAGCTAGCCGGGGACCCGTCGCCGGTTGGTGTCCGCACCGCCACACTCCTCCTTGATCCTCGGGTCGTGCAAAGCCAGGCACCCCCTGGACTGTGCGGGTGGTCAATGAACTTGGGAGCAGCTGTCATGAACTGACCGGTGCACCTGCTCAGAAGATGCTGTTTCCGCGTCCTCGATGGTTCCACCTAGCATGGGCTCTGAAAAGATATTTTGCCGAACTGGTAACATGCTGTGAAACAACTATCGGTAGTTGTTGCACTAACTGGTTTAATGTGCTCAGTTTTAAAAAATGACTGGTTTTCTCAATTAGCTGCTTTTGTTGCCTTTGGCAGATAGTCTTTTTGTCTTTAAAAAAAATGCAGTGGTAACAGATCGAAAGCTTTCGGTTTTGTTGATGCTTACGATTTGGAAATTATTTTGCTCTATTCAGTATAAATACAGGGATTACTAAGCACTAAGTTTACTTAACCACTGGATTTTTGAAAGTTATTAATATAATACAGTCTACCTCCGGTTCCATTCTTCAGCTAAATGGTAAACATGGTGCCTTATAACATTAAAGGAAAATTACTCCTGAAGACTATGGACCAAGAGAGATTTTCTAGACCAAGCAGCCAGATATCCATAATGATGCATGTCAATGTTTGCTAAGGTCTTTGCAGAACTGGGTAAGGAGCCTCTGGAAACAGGAAAATCTACTTGACAACTACCATATTTGACTCACCAGGCTCTCATATTCCTCATTTTATTGCCTGCTTTAAAGGTATTATACAGTTTGATACTAATGCAATGCAAAATGCTTTTCATATATCATGGCTGGTTCCTTCCAGGCTCACTCAGTAGGTGGTTTTGTTTTTGTGTTGCTGGGGCTCATCAGCATTTAAAACTACCTTAATTTATTGCCAGTTTGGGTCCAGTATTCTGATGAGTTGGGAAAACTACATGTTTTGTTAGTAACTACAGACTAGAAAGTGAAGTGTATTTAGAACTTAATAATTTTATAGTATTGCAGTGGGTCTCACATTTGACTGGCACATCAGTTTCTTGAAGAGCCACGTGGCATCAATTCTACAATGTTGGTGGGTGGATCAGCCATTAGTATATTTTTTAAGCTCCCCAGATGTTCATGTCTTCAGCCAAGGTTGAGAACCACTTCTGTGCACTGTTTTGCACATTTTGAAAGTTAAGTGTTTTCCAGGTTAACTGTTTTCCAGGCTGCACTCCACTGTTGCCTTAACTATGTCAGCTAAAGATAAAGCACCGTTGCTTCTTTAGTCCCCATATGTGTTCTTAGGTCAGTGCCCTCAGCCCTGCCCCAGGGTGTGATTCTGCAGTGACCAATACCCCTTCATAGACTTGTAGATACCATCCTCCTTAATATTCCCTAGGAATCATGCCATGTTCCTTGTGGAAAATAGAGCTACCTACCTCAGGAGAGGACATGCTGTTTTCAAGGAGTGATGTACACATTTTTATGTTAACTATTTAAAAATTGTTTCCAACACTCTCAAGAATTCATGGCTTGAAAATACAAGTTTTGTAAAATTGTGAGCACAGTATCTTATATTTTGACAGCAATGTTAAAATGCTATGAGCAATGAATAATGTACAGATTCTGTTTTATAAATGAATTCATTCTCAAGATGCCTGGTTTTTCAAGCTAAAATGTAAAATGTAAATAAAATTCTTTCCACATGAAGAAAAGCCTCTGTAGGGTTTGAGCTCAAGATCCCTTTTAGCTTCCTGTTACTTGATTCTAAGCTCTGACTTTATATACCAGTTGAGTGCAGATACAGAATACCCACCCACAAGCCGGGTATGCTGACACATGCCTTTAATTCCTGCACTTGGGAAGCAGAGGCAGGCACCAAAAGAAAAAAAGAATACTTATACACTTAAAGTCCAGTTTCTAACAGTGTTTATGATGGGGTGCTGTTTTTTTCTCTCTCTCTCTTTCTGTGTGTGTTTGTGTGTGTGTGTGTACACACACAAGTGCAGGTACCCTTGGAGGCCAGGAGAGGGTGTCTGGTCCCCCTGGAGCTGGAGTTACAAGTTTGTGAGCTGCCTGATGTGGGTGCTGGGAACCAAACCCAGGTTCTCTGAAGAGCAGTCCTTGCTCTTTAACTGCTGAGCCACCACTCCAGCGCTGGTATTTTTATTTTTGAGGTAAAATGTTATTTCCTTGAAATCTTCAGGTTCTAAGCACCCAATGATCAACATTTCTTCACAGCCATTTATAGAGAGCTAGGGAATAGATTTCTACATACTGTCCAACTGTGTCAGTATCTCTTTTTTAATAACCAGATGAGCACCACTCTCCAAGTAAGGCTTGTCCAGTGCCAATAAAACGTAATAAGAGATGTTAGCAACCCTAGGACTGCTCTTTCAGTAACAAAAGTTTTTTGGTTTTTTTTTTTTTTTTTTTTTTTGGTCTTTTTGAGACAGGATCTCCAGTAGCCCCATCTGGCCTAGAACTCCCTATATAGGAAACGCTGGCCTTGAACTCACAGAGATCCACCTGCCTCTGTCTCCTGAGTGCTGGGACTGAAGGTATAACAAAAGCTTTAAAAAAAAAAAAAAGCCAGCATAGAAAGGGGTATCTCAAACTGAAATTTGGGCTTTCAATCTGAATTATTTTGTTGTTGATGATTTTTTAAGACTGGGCCTCACGTGTCTAGACTGCCCTAGAACTTAATGAGTAGCTAAGGATGACTTTGGACTTTTGGTCCTCCTGGCCCCAACCTTCCAAGTGCTAGGTTATAGGTGTGTGACAACAGGCCTGGTCTTATCTTTATATATATTTTAAAGAGACTACAAGGTTTATTTTTATTATTCATGTATATTATATGAATGCATGCAACATGTGTGCAGGCATCCATGGAGGCTAGAAGAGTGTTGTATCCCCTGGAGCTGGAGTTATAGGCAGTTATGAAAGACCTGGTGTGGGTGTTTCAAACTGAATTCCAGTCCTCTGTAAGAGCAGTATGTGTTCTTCACTGCTGAGCTATCTCTCCAGACCCTAGCTGCTTTTTTTTTTTTTAAAGCAAGGAATTTGTTATGATGAACTTTCTGGCTTACTATAAATTTGAATTGTCTTCTACCTTAAACACTGAGATTTCCACAGAACTAATATGGAAGAGAAAATTATGTTTTGCAAAATGTAGACACTTTGTTCCATTCCATTTGAACTTAGATAATTGTAAAGTGCATGTGGTTAACTTCTGGTTTACACCAAGTTCCTTTCCTAATCAAAACAAGACAATTCAAATCTAAACTGATTACTAGGTGGTACACTCAAGGGATAGAGCCTCTAGTTAAACAGCCTGAATATTCAAGTTTTTCTTCAGCAATGTAATAGTCCACCTGGTAGACCATGTTTGAGGTTTTGAGCCTGCTGGGACCTACATTAGAGCCATTTAAAATAATCCTCCTTGTATAACAAAAATAGTGTGACAATGGATAGATGAGAATTTGTTGAAAAACACAAAGTTGACAAATGAAGTTTGTTAAGATGACTTAGCAGCCCCCATCAAGTCTGTTTATGAATAGCAACAGTAACCATGCACCCCTCAGTAGATCAGATGCAATGGAAACCAAGGGTTTCCTTAAGGCAAGCACTTCACAACTAGTTGTTTTCTATTAATTCTTGAGTAAATCACATTCTGTATTCATACAAAAACAATGTTTTTCTCTGACAAACTGTACATATAGAAATAAATTTCCAATTGGACATGAATTTGAACTGTGGAGGTGCTCATGTCTCATGACACTAAAAAAAAAGAATTCCAGCTTTTATCTTCACAAACAACATGGGAGAGTTAGGGCAATGTGGGTGGACAAGACAAAACAAGGCCAGCTACTCTGGGTGGCTGGCAGCAGTCTCTTCATCTTGAAGACCTCATTAGGCTCCTGGGACTCAGCTGCCCCAGAAGAAGCATTTGGGGCTAGAATGGTGAAGGCTTTTTTTCTGCTTCACTTGGTAAGTCCACAAGAACTCTTAAATACTGTCCAGAGGCCTAGGGCTACAGAGCCCCTACCTCCTACTTCTACCGACCCCTCCCACCGCCCCTTGAAGTGCCTCGCCTTGGTGGGCCAGAGTTCATGTTACTACCTCTACCCCAGTTACTGCCACTCCGACCCCCTCGAGAAGGTGTGCTGCTGCCTGATGGGCCCCCAAAGGGTTCATCTCTGTGGTATCCATCATGATGGTCCCCATCCAAGGAACTGGAACGCCCAGATTTTGGTACTCTCTGGGAAGGTCCTGGACCCCCTCGGCCTGAAATGAAACATTGAACAGATAACTCTGTATCAGATTCAGCAACTCCTGGTACAAACTTTTACTAACTCTGATAACAGTGGGCCACTAGGATGTCCTAAGGAGATGGTCAGTGGTATTCAGAGCACTAAAGCAGGCTCCTCCACCCCTTTCTGACTTTACTCACATCCTAGCTCATGGCCTCAGTCCTCAGCATCTATGAGGCTATGTGACCCAGGGCTGTTTGACAGAAGACAGGAAGCCAATAGATAAACACTGAGAACCCCCAGGAAACCTCCACCACAATGGATCAAACTACAGGAAGCTGTTTTTGCTCTCCTGTGCTACCAAAGTATTTTAAAGGAGATTTCAAAAGCAGTGACTTTAGAAGCAACTAAGATACAGAGACTGCTGCGGATGTTAGTAGCAGGGGCTCCGGGTGAGATGGGTGTTTGTGGCACTGTGGCAGGGGCTCTGGCTGAGATGGGTGTCTGTGGCACTGTGGCAGGGGCTCTGGCTGAGATGGGTGTGACACTGTGGCAGGGGCTCTGGCTAAGATGGGTGTTTGTGGCTCTGTGGCTTCCTTTTACATATTTTAGTGACATGAAATATTCTCAAAGAATAAAAACAGTGGCTTTCAGGAACTTATTTGTTTCAGACTTAAATACACAAATATTTAGGTATCAGTAAAATTTACTTTTAAAACCTTTTTCTTGGGTCAGTGAGATGGCTCAGTGGGTGAAGGGGCTTGCCACCAAACTTGATGACCTGAGTTCTAACTGCAGGGCCCAAATGATGGAAGGAGAGAATTGACTCCCAAAAGTTGCCCCTGACCTCCCACATGTGCAACATGGGCACCAACAAACCTTTAAAAAAAAAAAAAAGCCCCTGGGAGAGGGGAGAATCAGTTTTCCTCAGTGGTGTGCCCCATAGTAGGTTGCCCATGCTCCAGTGCATGGTGCACTATACTGTGTATATATGGATAGCACTAATTGGACTCAGTGAGCTATTAAAAAAAAAAAAAAGAATACATGAAGTTGGGAGGGGGGAGTAGGTCTGAGAAGAGTTGATCTAAATACATTGTATTAATATACAAAATTACCAAAAATAAATTTAAAAAGTTTTTTAAACCAACATTTTCTTGGGCTGAAGATGGAGCTCAATGGTGCAGTGCTTTGCCTAGAGTGTGTGAGGCCCTGGATTTGATCCTAGCACTGCAAAATAAATGAAGACATAAATAAAACTTTTTCTTGTGAAATGATGGGGTTTGGTTTCACCTCCCACAGCATGTTCTCCCAACAACTACAAAACTCCATGTTGCTTTATTGTTTGAATGGAAGTTGAATCTAATGGAGATGAAGAGCTTAGAGGAGCTACCCAAATAATAACTTTGTCTTCTTATCTTTTTTAAAAAAATTATTTTTATTTTATGTCTGTGAGTGCTTTGACTGCATATAAGTGCACCCATGTCATGCAATGCCCTCAGGAGTCAGAAGAGGGCATCGGATCCCCTGGAGTAACATACAGTTGTTAGATGCTATTTGCATACTGGGAACCAGACCCCAGGTCCTCTGCAAGAGCAGACAGTGCTCTTAACCACTGAGCCATCTCTCAAGCCCCCTTGGCTTCTTATCTTACAAAGTATCTTAGATCAGCCTATAGTTGCCTGAACAAAGCTGTCAGCTAGTCCTCAGTTTTCATACTGGTATATCCTATACCTATGAACTCATCCAGGCCACAGCATACTGGCTGGTAACAATGTGTTTATCTGGAGGGAGGCTGGGAGGGAGCCTTCATTTCTAGAAGGACTACACACAAGACAAGTGAACGTAGGGAATTACACACAAGATGAGACACCCAGCAGTTTTCTTTCCAAAGCATACCACAAAGACCCCTGCCTGGCCCAGCCTAAGGTGAGACCTGTAAATAGCAGTGGCTGCTATACCTGGCTGGAAGTACCATGTTAAAATAAAGACCCCAAAGCTCTAAGGTATAGAGATAATCCCTCTGTCTCCCAGGAAATATCCACTTGGCAGACTATAAGCCAATGTCTTGTGACTCAGCACAAGTAATATTCCCTCTAGATCCTGGCTGAAAAGTGTGGTACAGAAGCTAGGAAAGGATAATTCTCCCTCCCTAAGAGGACACCCTGGAGGGTTCCAAGCAGCCAGTGAGGACACAGGGGCAGGACCAGGAGTCTCTTAGTTAGCAAACAAGGCAGAGTACTGGGACGCCTTGGCTAAGGGCCAGGTAGAAACTGAACAAACCAGAGCCTCTCAGAAGCAACTGAACATTCTGCAGAGGAAGCCTGCAGCCACTGGGCACCAGCTCCATCCAGCTGTGCCAAAGACCCAAACTGCATTCAAATGAAATATG